AGAGCAACAAAGAAATTTGTGATTATTCTTTCTTGGATCATGAAACAGAGAAAAACATCTGAAGGGTTTTTCATTTTTTTTAAATCCTTCTAGTTTGTAACTGTGTTGTACAAGAAGATTGGGATCTATGAAATACATTGTTTCAAAATGTGTTAGACACAAAAATTTACTTTTGCAATGCACTATTTTGAAAGCTTCACACACATTGAAAAACAAATCCTCATATTTAAAAAGTATTATTTAACGTTAACTTTTCTTTTAATGGTTTTTCATTTCAGGTATTTCTGTGTGCTGCAACAGAAATGCTTGAATGAATTGTTGCATCAGAAGTGTGGAAATATGAAATATATTGTAACACTTATGGCAATCTTGTATGTGACAAATGAAGGATAATTGCAATGAACAGTAAGCTTATATCCCATAAGTGAATTGACCTCATAATTCACAAGTCACAAAATCATAAGTTGGTTAAGTGTTTTCAACAAAGATTTATCACAGCGGTTGCATGGTGTTATCTATGTCTCTGATTGAGACTGACTAAATAATTCCGTGAGGAATAGGGGAAGAACCTTTGGCTTTGGTGTAGTTCTTGCCTAATTCAGTATTTCTTGTGGATTTCAGAATCTTATAAAATTTCTAAGTCATTCATTGGAACTCATCTGTAAAGATCAAATATATTTTAAAAGCAAGTGTTACGTTTGATTCTATGACTAGGTTTCTGTCAGTCCGATGAGACCCAGGATCGTAGTGAGATCCCAGACCAAAGGCAAGGTGGAGGTTGAGGAAGAGAGAGGTAATTGACTTGGAGAGAAGGGCAATGGGTAGCTTTTAATGGCCAGCCCCCAATGCTGAGCCCCTTGATCAGCTACAGATGGCCTGACAATGAGGGATTCCCCAGGAAGTGCACTGGCTAAGCCAACAGTTCACTGAGCGGCCCTCTGAGAATGCAGGAATGTGATGCAGCATCCTTTATGTCCCTGATCTACCAATAAGTTGCAGTGAGCTCAGCAGTAGTGGTGTCACTTGCTTCATTTGTGGACCTAACTGACATCCTTAGCAATGGCTAAGAATCCCATATCAGCCCTTTCTGTCCCTGAATTCAGTGGGTTGGGGGTTGGGGGGGAATGGCTTGCTTGCTCCAATTGTGCTGAGCACAGTGTTCCAGACCATATAGGAACACAACCCCCCTCCCTCCCCCCACTCTCCCAGACTACTCCAAGATGCGGAACCTAATCTTGAGCAGCAGTATCATCTGCTCCACCATGGCCCTGGCCTCAGCATGTGAACAGCTGAGTGAGCAACATATTACATCAAAAAAGGTGAACACCCTTCCCATCCCAGACCTGCCTCAATCATTCCATTTTCCATTGTATTCTTTTAAGTCCATTGTCATACTTGCATGCCTTATAATGTGGCAATGGCCATTGTTTTGAGGATGACATCTATACAGGGTTGTGAGTTTTTGCTATGCTCTTCATGAGACTGAAAAGGCCAGTTCTCAACCTGTAGATCTTTGGTCAAATGGGCAAGGAGTTCCAAAGATAGTGGGATCCTGAGTGCAATATTCTTTCCTATCAACAGGTAGTGCAGAAGGTGAATGTTTAACGTAATGGATGATGTGCCAATCAAGTGAGTTGGTTTGGTCTGGAGAGTGTTGAGCTTCGTGAGTATTGTTGAAATTATGGGTATCCAGACAAATGAGGCTGAATCTTAGGTATTTTTAGCTAAACGCTGGTAGCATCCAAGTTTTTGGAAGGATTTTTGCTGTGAGGCTTAACGAAATTTCTTGCTGTATCTCACCAAACTCACTTTATTGACTACTTATCCTGCCCCTATGGTGTCCCACTCATACAATTCTAGCCCCTTCTGTTACATGGTGTTCCCAGAACAATTGCTGGGATATTCCACAATGGCATCCCTGGCACTGGTGCCATCTTCAAATGGCTGTTGTGTGCCTGTCAAGTACTGAGAGTCTAGAGCTGTCTGTACAGCTTCTGACGTTTGCCTCAGGCGTGGCAGACAAGAAATGAGTGTGTTCTCATGGTTGGGATATTGACTACAAAAGTTGCGTGGCAGTTGTGTAAGACTTCAGTTAGGCCACATTTGGAGTATTGTGTGGAGTTCTGTCGCCACACTATAGGAAAGATGTGGAGAACTTGGAGAGGGTACGAAAGAGGTTTACTGGGATGTTGCTTGTATTGGAGTGTATTAGCTATAAGGAGAGATTGGACAAATGTGGATTGTTTTCACTAGAGCGTCGGAGGCTAAGAAGCGACCTGACAGAAGTATATAAAATTATGAGAGGCATGGATAGGGTAGATAGTCAGTGTCTTTTTTTCCTAGGGTAGAAATATCCCTAGTATTAACTAGGGGACATAGACTTAAGGTGAGGAGGGTAAGTTTAAAAGAGATATGTGAGAAAGATTTTTACGCCGAGGGTAGTAGGTGCCTGGAATGCACTGCCAGCACAGATGGTAGAAGCAAAACATTAGCAATGTTAAGAGGCATTTCGACATATAACAGGCAGGGAATAGAGGGATATGAACTATGTGCAGGCAGATGGGATTAGTTTAGAATGGCATCATGGTTGCCACTCTATGGGGCGAAGGGGCCTGTTCCTGTACTGTATGTACTGTTCTTTGTTTGATTCCCAAAAGGCAGCACCACTTGTTTAATGCCAAGGACCCAGTTCTTTCATAAATAATTCCAGGGATCATATCTCCAATGCCCACCTTAGAAGTTCATTCAATGTATTAATCATCCTTTGTATGAAAAGTAACTTCCAAACATTAGTCCTAAATTTGCCTTTTACCACAGTATTGAAAAAAATTACGTGCACTTTCAAGCAGATTTCATGTTCTCATAACATCCTGAAGCATTTGAATATCATCGACTAAAATCTGTACAATTCTTTCAAGTTCTTCCTTAGCTATTTAAAACCCAAACATAGAATACTTGTGTAAATGAGTTTGCTCTCATCCAATTTATTCCCTGTGTTTTATTTTTGTAATATATTGATTTTTTTCAGATTTTAGACATTTTTAACAATTGAACAACCAGAGACCTTTGAATAACTTGTGCTCCTGGAAGGTTTAGTATTTCTTGTATGACCCAAACGTCTACATTTTATTTTAAGGTGTAACTCTAAAATATTTCTGCTTTTTTTCTTGGCAAATGTACAGGTCAGGATAACCTAGCTATGGAGTAATAATAGAAATTAAGATAATCTATGATTCTGAGTTCCAGTTGGCAGTAATTGATAATATGTCAACCTACAAGTTTCATTGTGCAAATCTAGAATTTTACTTCAGTTATTGCAATTTTTTTTTGCAATTATTTACCCCAAATTACCTATACAGGAAATGAAAAGAAGGCAGAGAATTTTTATAAAAAAAGCAAAAGTAGTTTTGGGCACTGAATGTTAGAAAACTGAAAGGTACCTTTTATACAGAAATAAACAAAAAATACAGCATATACAAAGCAGTATTTTGTTGCATATTTGGCACATGAATATTGGTTACTCACTTCATTTTTGGGGTTTGGGGTAAGGCCCATATGTGAAGTATTAAAAAGTACAGTTATACCTGAAACTTTTTCTAGCAAGACCGCTTTTTCAGTGGTGAAGAGTGTTTGCAGGAAGCCCCTGTAGTCTGCTTTGTCTGCAAAATAGTACAAGGCTACCTGCAATATTGCTCAATGAAGGACTTGAGGGCGATTGCATGGTTCTGGGACCTCAGTTTGTATCAGCTTTGACCAGTTACCTCATTTTCTCTTCCTCTTTCCTTCACAATATGCCTACAATTAGTCACAGTAAAATGAAATTTTTGATGTGATTTGATTTATTATTGTCACATGTACTGAGATACAGTGAAAAGTATTGTATTGTGTGTTAACCGCACAAATCAGGCCTTGCATAAGAGCATCAGGGTACTAGAACAGAATGCAGAATATAGTGTTACAGCTACCGAGAAAGATCAATTTGAATATATGAAAGGTCCATTCGTAAGTCTGATAACAGCGGGGAAGAAGCTGTTCTTGAATCAATTGGTAAGTGTTTCAAACTTTTGTATCTTCGCCGATGGAAGAAGGTAAAAGAGAGTATAACCGGGTTGGGAAGGATCTTTGAGTATGTTGGCTGCTTTCCCGAGGCAGGGGGAAGTGTAGACAGAGTCACTGGAGAGAAGGCTGGTTTTTGGGCTGCATTCACAGCTCTCTAATTTCTTGCGGTCTTGGGCACAGCAGTTGCCATACCAAGCTGTGATGCACCCGGATAGGATGCTTTCTATGGTACATCTATAAAAATTGGTAAGAGTCATTGTGGACATGCCGAATTTCCTTAGCCTTCTGAGGAATAGAAGTGTTGATGTGCTTTCTTGACTGTTGTGTTGATACGGATGGACCCCTTGTTGAATATTTACTGCTAAGAACTTGAAGGTCTTGACCACCTCCACCTCAGCACCGTTGATACAGATAGGCATGTCCTCCACTCCGCTTCCTGATATCATTGACCAACACCTTTGTTTTGCTGACATTGAGGGAGAGATTGTTGTCTTTATCATCATTTCACGAAGGTGTCTGTCTTCTTCCTGTATTCTATCTCGTCATTGAGTGAGATCAGATCCACAATGGTGGTGAAATCAGCAAATTAGTAAATGGAGTTCAAGCTGAATTTGGCCACACAGTTGTGAGTGTGATTGCGATTGAGATTGCGATTTAAATCGAGATGAGTTTAAATCTTTCAGTGTTGGCAAGTCAAATGCAATGCATATGCTCGTGGCCAAGAATCAATCATACTGTGGTGATATCTATCAGATTTGGCATCCCTGTATATGTCTGTCACAGACACTTCTTTAAATGGAGTCCAATTTTTGGTATGTACAAATTATATGTCGACTGCCTGTTCATGTGAAGTACTGTGATCTTAATCTGAAAACATGAATTAAGACTTTGCTAAGGCCATTATGGATGATTCACTCCTGTCTTTTCTCACCTATTACCAGGCAATGTGGTTAATGGTGCAACAGGATGAACCAGAGGATTTTATCATAGCTACAGGAGAGGTGCACAGTGTTCGAGAATTTGTTGAAAAAGCCTTCAAATACATTGAGAAAACCATTGTGTGAGTATGAAAATGTGCTAAAAACAGCTTGAATCATAGATGCAGGTCTACTGTATTTCTAATTTGATCTTTTTACAGGTGAATAGCTCATAATTTATTGTGAGTTGCCAAATAACTCTAAAATTGCTCACAGTTTATACATGTTGAAAAGCTACGTAGAAGTGGAATGAATGAAAATTTTAAGTATTTAACATGATTAAGTAGAGTCTACAAAATGGTCTTTACATCACCTAAAAGGACAAGTCAGTGACAGTTCTTTAAATAAGTAGGATACATTTATAATTGTTTGGATTATAATTCAATGTTGGATCCATTTACATTTGTGTTAACAGGAAGAGAACCTCGTTTGGTTGCAATAAAGTTCATGTAATACATGTTTTACATTGGCGCAGTAATCTTAATATAACATCAAAGTCCCTAAAATACATCTTTTCCTTGGATTTGGTGTCTGTTTGCTTGGTGTTAATGTTTGTTTCTAATTTTTTTAAATGCAGTTCACATGACAAAAATCATTGTAATACCATACAAATCAAGAATACATTATTCAAAAGTAAAAGCAAAAATATTCCACACATACTTCCTCTGATTTATTCTTTTTAGAGAATTGTATTCAAAATTGACTAATAGTTATCCTGTCATTCCTGTGCAGTCTGGGGTGTCATGTTTTTAAGTATGAGGCAGCCGTATATTTAAGCTATTAAAAATGCTATCATGTGTTGTATTAGGCAATTGAGTACGGTCATTCAGAGTGAAAGATGACCATTAAGTCAAGTCCTTCAGTTGAACTCCTTGCATTCGATTTCCAGTGCATGGTGAGGGTCTTTATTGTTTTTCATTCATAGGTTCTTAACAAAAAAAATTAAGTTTCACGTTTGTTTTTACTTTGAAGAAAATACTTGGAGTATAAGAGCAGCAGCAGATTTATTTGCATTTGTCTCATCGGTACTAGTTAAAATGTTTTGTTGTCACTGTTGAGATATAAAGACTATGAAGAATTAAAAAGTTAGTTTCCCATTCCATAAAGTAAAGTGCTGTGAGTCTATATTCTATTCTATATATTTCAACCATAATTTTAGATGTGGGCACATTGCTTACTTTCAAGTCATTCCGTCTGTATATCACGACTCGTTCATCAACACCAATGTTCCCTGGGCTCCTCTGCTTGTAAAAGGAGAAAAAATTTGACCTAGATAAACCTCAAAAGCACACTGCAAATATTTTGATTATTTTTAAATATGTGTGGATAGTATATATGTACATGACTGTTTAGCAGTTATGGAATGATAACTACTTGTATCACAATACAGCAATTGTGCAATTTCACTTAAATTTATGTTGACGCCTAATAAAAGAAAACAGTGCATCATTAACACTAACGTTCAAAGTTTAGTGTGTGCACTCATAAATCTTTGCTTGTTCAGTAGAAAAACAGATAATTATCATTTATTTCCATCGCATTGAAACTTGTTTAGTTTCAGTTATGGTTGAGTTATTCACATGGGTTGGCTCCCCACTTTTGCAATGCAGCAATTGGTTTCATTATTTTCACAACAAAATTGTTATTCTACATTTTTCCAGATTGACAATTTCTGTCACTGAAACAATAAAGCTATTTTGGCAATGTAAACAGTGTGAGTTAATGCATGGGCAGTTTCCTTTGGTGACAGAACTAAACCAATACCAATATAAACTTGCTTTTGTTGGTGAGTCTCGATCTAATTAGAATGATGCACCGTCTTCGACAGTTTGATTTAACTGGCAAGATGCTCTTAAGTGCACCGATTATATACCTATAAACATGTCTGAATTTAATTAGCTTTTGTAAAATTACTTTTTATATAAAATCATTACAATTCTGCATGCCTCATCAATAAACCACATACCATATGGACTCTCATTTCTCACAATGGGTGTGTGTGAGGACAGCTAAACTGCTTCTTGCCCAAGGTAAAATGACTTCAATGTACACACACAATTTTTATTTTCAATAGAACAGCAAGTACTTTCTGCCATCGCTTTGATTAATGGCCAGGATTGTTCTATTTACTTTGCGCATGAAATACATTAAATATGTGCATACAAACTATTTGATTGTAAGGTGACTATATATTTATATATTAAGGATGTCACTGAATAGATATTTTTATTCTAGTTACTTCTACCACAATAAGTCATCAATACTTCTCAAATGCTAAACATTCCTTAGTGCACAGGGTATTTACCATTATTTCTATCAAACTGAGTGGTTTAATCCCGCCTTCAACAGGGGCTGACAGGTCTGCACAACATGTTTCTTTGATGTGCTCATAGTACATGTAAGCACACAGTTGAACTCCTAATGGCCCCAAATCACTGTTGATGTTAAATTTAGTAGATTAGCCTAAGGACAGAATAGTATTGTTTCTACTCGTTTCATATTTGCTTTTCTCTTAACCTGAGACCCTTTGTGGTTCATGACAACAGCCTGTTAAGTTTTACCAGAAATAATGGATGATACACTGTGGTGCTTTATCTAAAGCTTCTTAACCTTTTTTTTTAAACCATGTTTTTCGGCTGGCAATGTGCCATAGAATGGAAGTGGATGAGTTCACACCTGTATTTCCCAACTTGGTGATTCTCTCTTTGCAATGTATTTGGGGAAGAGGAATTGCCTGGTGAAGGATAAGTTTCTTTTTGAAACTCAGGTCAAATGTGGCAGAATGGGGCATTGAAGGGTGAATTGCCTCACATTGCCAGTTTCCATCGCTCAACAACAACTTCAAAATCAGTCATAGCAAAGGCCTCTGAACAAAACAGAAACAAAATTTGATAGTCTCTGAATAAAACATGAAGGCTGCGATGCAACAGTGTGCAAGTATTGTGTAGCCTGCTAATTTTAAATGATTGTAGCATGCAGTTCAACGTTGAAAATGCTGTTGAGTGACTGTATGCCGCAGTAGAGGTTTAAGCACCACTTATGCACACTGTTATTGTGGAGGTGCATTCTGGAAGAAGCAGTTTCTGGAAGTAGTTAGGGAAGAGCCTCTAACCTGCAAGAAGAATGATCAATGGAGCAACAGGGGAAGGAGGATAGATGCTGCACTGAAACCCTGGTGCAAGTGGCAGGAAAGGAGAGATGCCTTCTTTTTCACAGCAGGCTATGAGACCCTCTAAACAGACAGTGCAAAAACCTGGAGGAGCAAATATCTGTCACAGTTTATACTAGGAGTCTCGTGCCAAGGGCCTGGATGCCTCAAGAAAGGTCAATGGCTGTGACCACTCTCGTGAGTCCTGCTTGTTTCATCACACCCTTCACTCAACTAACAACAATCTCAATCAGTTATGATTCATACCTGAGGAAGAAGAAACACCATCATTCACTGCTGTTACAGTTAATTGAGAAGAGTCCGCCGATGCTCATGCCCCACTGTTCCAGAAGCCATCCCACAATGTATAAAATCCCAAGTAGACCATCAAAGTGCTCAGTTTGTACGATATACGTATACGTATATGATAACGTATCAAAACCAATACACTCTTGGCAAGTAGTGCTGTTATCGCACATGTATCAGCCTTTGTACTTTCAAACTGAATTGTCTGTATTCATTTAAGTGAACTAAAGTGGCTGGAAGTCTTTTCTGGAGTTGAGACCATTATAACTCGGAACCAAGCTGTGATTGTTTTAAATTTACCTACGAAAATATAAAAATGATCGGCAGTATAATTTGATTATCTGAAATATTATGATGGTAAAAATTGAACATTTATTACAGTACTGGTGTTAGAATTTTTGTTTAGAACAGCCTTATAATTACAATAGAAATAATGAGTGCATGAAATCCTCACAACTATATTTACAATGTTGTGACACATAATGACCAAAAGAGTTCTCAATATTATTCCACCATTTTTTTAATATTCTTTCATGGAATGTATCACAGTCTAAGCTAGCATTAATGAAATTAAAATAGAAAACTTATATCTTTTTAAGAAACGTTGTGGTCTAGGTGCCAAACCTGTTTACTTCCATTTTCAAGACATATTTTTCACTTTCACTCCTACCTCACTACCAGAAATGATGAAACCCTTATCAATGTTTTTATTTATTTCTCATGTCAATTGTGCCAATGCTTCAATTATTAACCTTCCCAGATCCAGTGTACATAAAATTCAATTCATTCAGAACTCCATAACACACATTCTGTCTGTTTCAAAAACCCATTGTAACTTCTGTTATCCCCAAATACACTGATGCAGAAATCTTCCTCCTCCTCTTCAAATCTGTCTTTAGCCCAAGTCTACCATTCCATTACATTCTTCTCTGCATCTTGCACCCACCATGTATTCTTTGCACTGATTATGGCCTACTGTGTGGTTTACCTATTCTCCAACTACCATCGTTGGGAGAGCTTTCCGAGATTATGCCAGTTCCCTGAAACTCTTTTTCTAAGGCTTCTTGGTTCTCTTCCTTTGTCATCAGTCCAAAGGTATCTTCAATTGTACACATTGGAAAGTCTTGTTAAATAAACTTTAGCACATAAGTGTCAATCCTTGATACTTTAGGTAAGATTCCAAAGTATCTTTTTTTTAGTAACTACAAGAATATATTACAAAATCCATGACAACTAGAGCCCTGCCTCAATCAAATATCAAGATAATATAGTGAAATGAAGAGCACTGGCATTCAATCCAAAATGACATGTTACATTAAGTGGGAACTGTTTCAGCAAGATTGTTTTGTAAGATTTACTTTGTTGTATGTATTTACTGCCTCTAATTCAGCAAGGCCTGCCAGTATTCTAAATTCTGATGCATTATGTAATATAGTCTTTATGTCAGGGGGAAGATGAGGTTGATTAAATCAGAAGTAATAGCATCTAAAATGTACTCCTAAGTTTTAATTTATATGTTTGTTCTTTGTATTGAGGACGTGTGTTGTGCTTTTTTAAGTTAACTGGTTGTGCACATAAATGTAGAAGTTTCACTTTTTCACGTAATACTTGTATCAGTTCGCAGATTAT